ATTTACCGTTGTGCTGTAGAAGACTTTTTTCAAAGCTGAAAATAGTGCGTGATATTTACAACGGCAACCTTGGATTGAGGGGCTCCTCCTCAGAGAGAAGCTTTTGTTCCAAATTACATTTTAAATGATGATGATTATTATGTGCAGTGTTATAATAAATGCAATTATTCTGCCATTCTATCAAAAATATTACATGGGAAACAAAAGAAATGCAAAGCTGAAGCTGGCTCGTGATCCTGTATTACACCTTCACCCTGTACAGCTGATACATCTGCCGCATCAGAAAGTTTCGGCACGTTGCCTGAACTTGTGCACTGTGGTTATGGTGACAGAAAAAATAGCACACGTAAAATCTGATAGAACTGCAGCCTATCCCCGCTGCCATTACTGTTGTTTCAAGAGCTTTAAACAGCTTTCTATTCCAGCTTTTGATTATTCTCCACAAATTGAACGTAGCGCAGTACATGAATGGCTGGTTTCAAACAAATAATCTGAACATACAGTTTGACAAGTATGTCATGTTTAGCTTACTTAAAGGTCTGAAACAACTACTAACATTCCAAGTATTTTCAAGTATATGAATTTTAAGACCTAGACTACAAATGCTTTATCTTTGCCAAGTCAGGCATGAGCTGCTTGTTTCTGCATGTGTGCTCATATATCTGTAATGGAAAGTGGTGCTTTTGGCAATCTCAGGCATTTTATTTATGCATTTTTCAGGCACAGTTTAAGAGGCTGCTTCACAAACTAGCCGCCGTTATTGCGTCCGGTGTCCCCCATTGACTTCATTAGAAGTGGTGTGCACAGAGGATATCTGAGGGTGCTAAAAACGTCAAATGGGGTATTGAGCAAAGAGGAAACCAGACCAGTAAAGAAAGCTCCCTGGAACAATCAGGTTTTGATACTAAAACCTTGGCGTACTGTGTATAGTGTCTAAGATGTTTACAGGTAAAACGTGTACATTTTTTAAAGCATATGCATTTCTTCTAGCCCAGTTTTCAGGAACAGCAAAAATCTTCTTCCTTTTCAGCGCAACTCTAAAAAAATGACCAGGAAAAGATTGTGCTCCTCTGTTGGAACATTCAAAACATGACGAACAACATCCTTAAAGCATATATTGTCAGTTTGATATTGGTGTTCATTCAATGAAGATCTTGGGAGCATCTGGTATTAAAAAACTTTGCCAAAATCTGCAGGCAGCACCTCTGTTTGCACGAGCCCCAGGGGACAATGTTGCAAATCAAAACCTTTCTATTCTTCCATACATAGTTTAATTGCGGTCTTAAAATATTTATGAAAGTGGGTTCTCTGTGCTTTGCCACAGCCACACCAAAACCCATTCTCTCTTTGAAGGCTTGCAGGCATGCCATGTGCACACCGTGACTTCGGGCAGCGGAAGGCAGCGTTCAAGGACAATAAAGCAATACTTCGGGAGAACCAAAGAAGAGAGAAAGCAGAGTTTTCTGACCAAACGCTCCAACAACAGGGGCCTGTCTGCTGCAGTTACCCGTCTCTGTAGGTCAGGTTTTATGCTACTACCTGTCTCTTTTATGCTTGCCCTGTAAAATCCGTGTCAGTCGCAAGGGATTCATGAAGTCTTTGACTCCTCTCCTTTTTAAAGGTCAGGGCTCCACTTTTTAATTGGAAAAGCAAAAGGCGAATGAGTCTGACCGTGAACACTGCTGCCCTCACTACGTGCCTTAGGAGGCTCAAAGACTAGCCAAAGATATTAGGGCTCTTTGGGGCTAGCCGGGGGGAGACAAGGGAGGCATCAGAAACTTACGCAGTTTATTGGAAAAAGGAGGCATTGTTTGAGCCTAAGCAAGACTTATAAACTGCTGTACCTGGAGCTGGAAGTGTAGAGCAGCCACCATGTGAGTTCAAGCTGATGACAGCATTGTCATCCAAATATTTGTTTAATGACTTTCTGGACAAAAGTTTCTTTTCTCTTCATCAGAACTATGCCTTTTAATTTTGACAACTCCCTTCTTCCCCCATGGTAAAAACAAAACAAAACAAAAGAACCCTGAGAAAGCTTGGATCTGGGGAGCTGCGGGGCTTAGGTTTGTTTTGTCTTACTTCTCTGGGAAGTGCAGGGCGAGGGGAAAGAAGACAGACTGAATGTGTTTTTATTTTGGAAAACTGGACTATTTTTCGCTTTTTCTTTTCTAAGAGGAATAGAAACATCACTGGCAGTATGAAACAGTTTCACCTCTGTTAGAAATTGTCATTGGAAAGATGTAAAATTTTTTGGTTTGCTCTGGTACTTACTGCATAATGGCAATATATCTAATGGCTGACCAGCTTGTTTCTCATGTTTCAAAGATCACTTCAGCCCTTCTAGTAACTACATGTTTTGCCTAATCTTGGTAGATCTAGGAATTCCTGGAGTGATCAGCACAGATTCTGAACCAAAATGTACACTGCTGAATAATTTCTTTATTCCTAATAATTTCCATTATTTGTTTAGAAGGAAGTATAAAAAAGCAGAGAAGTACTTACTCTTTCTTTTTTCTTTTTCTTAAACAGTGAATACAGCAACTGTAAGTTTCCCTCTTAGTTTTTAGCAAAGTTCTCATGTACATACATGCTTGCCACCTGTGTCGTCTCTGTATGCAATGTTCAGACTGGAATTTGGGAAGGGTGGGTCCATAGGTTTATTTTGCCGAAGCCAGGCTTAACATCCTCCACTGAATGCATATGTTTCTCATGCCTTCCCTACTTGCTCCTACAAGCTCTCCACTAAAGTGCTCTGCTTTGGTAAACTTTTGCCTATCAAAGCACTTCTTTACTTTATGGTCCACATTTATTTAAACTGACATTGCTGTCTTCAGTGTGAGACCATTTCCCGGTACCTTTGTGATAACTGTCTCCAAAGTTATAGCGCAATATGTTGTTTACTGTATCTGCTATTTCTTACATAGTGCTCCGAATTGAAACAGTAAGAAGTATTGGAACCAAGACTTAGTTCAAGCATTTTTCAGCCACCTTTCTGTCTATATGAGATCATACTCACCATAACATTTTTCATTTAATTTTTTATCTGGATTTATCCAAGATGTTATTGAGAATTTCCCTTATAAAAAATTTATTGAGGCTCTATATTCTATAAGAAGCCCGCATAACATTCACCAGTAATATTTTTTTTGTTTTACCCCTTTGCTTATCATATATATGTTTGAATGCAACATAACACGAAGACATGAGTGGCCCATAATTTCCAGAAACAATTAGGTATGGTTCTGTTTCTTACTGAAGTCTCTTCTTTTCCTCCAAAGACTGCAGAGGTTCATAGTCAGCAATCCTTTCTTCTCTTCCTATCTTCATTTTATATATTTTTATTTCTTTCATGAAATCCCTTCCAAAGAACATAAATTACCACTAACAGAGCAAAAAATCCCAACTGATTGTGTGCAGATGAAAGACCTTGTTACATACCTACACCCTGATTTAGACTAATGGTGGACTAATTTTAGGATTCTCTATTTTATTCAGCTTTGTAACATTCTGCTTGACCCTTTCTCTAATGCCTTAGTGTTTCACCTGCACTGAATGGCTTCTGAGCATTAAGGAGATATATCACCATTTCCTCTCATGGTTATTTAAAAGAGATTCTGCTTTTATTGCCTATTCCCATCACAGGAATCATAGCACTCCTTACCTACATCTATACATCTACTACATCTATTCCATTTTTGTTTAACACAAGATGCTTCTTATTTCCCATTTTTCAGCTAGCTGTTAAGGTATTTCTTAGCAGTAGCACCTATCTTCATTCACCTTCCGATTTCATGAGAGAAGAAAAAATACATCTTCTGCCACAAAGATGTTGCCTGCAAAGAAGGTTGTGTATTTCTGGATTGCCTATAACCTTCTTGCATGCCTCCATTTACTGGTCTACAACAGGGGAATAATAATAATGCCCACCCAGGGCTTAGTTACATATTATTGGAAAAGTATTCGAGACATTTGGGGAAAACCTGACTTCAGAGTTTTGTCTCTCTTCTGTTTTTTTCGCCAGGTACCTAAGTGCCCTCTGTTAGCTAATTTCTTGCTGGCCCTAAAACGTTTTTTTCTTGTGTTCCTTCTCCTACTGAAGTAAGGCACAAGTGTCTGTTTAGCCTTGGAAGACACAATGATGCAATGGTACCTCATTGTACAGCGTTATCTCTCAGGACTTCCAAAACTTGTGCTTTTGCCGAAAGTAGGATAATTAAATTGCCTCATTAGAACAAGATCCTATGACTGTAAAGTCCCCAGCTCTCTCAGGGAGACCTCTCTACCCTCTCTCTGATAGACCATCCCATCAGATCTTTCCTCTTTCACCATATTTGATGAAACATTACCACTTTGTTACCCATCAGCGTTTCATGTACTTTACAGATAGGTTACTCCAGGCCGGATGGCTCATGATACACACAGCCTGACTGAGAGTATCTTGAAGCAAGGGCTGGATGACAGCGATCCACGCTACCCTTCCCGGTGACAGGGTACGCTGGAGATGTTGCTGAGCACACCCATGAGGCATTAGAGAAGCAGAAGACACGGGCAGAAAGCAAGCGGTTTATCCATCACAAAGAGGCGGTGCATGCCACCCCCAGTCGAGTTGCCTGGCTTTTCTCCATGGCACCTCTCTCATCCTTCCTATATGCTCCAGGCCGGCTTTCTCTTTTTGTTTTACGCCCGTAGGAAGCTTGGGGTCTGCAAGGCAAGTCCTGCTCCTCTGTGCTCTGCAAAGGACCCCACACCCCTTGTTCACCCCTGTGCCTTAAGTCAAGGTGAAGGAGCCAAAAGTCTCACACATGTCTGCAAACGGTAATGGTAGGACATACTTTGTCACTGTTACATGGGAGCACCCCATACCGTGGATGCGAAGGTTGGAAAACAACTACCACCTGAGCAGCCCTTCCCGGCACCCCGCTCCCAGCCCCGCTGCCCTCGGCTGCCCCACGCCCCACAGAGGCGATGGCACTCGGTGGCACGGGGCCGGCCTCACTCACAGCACACAGAGGCAGTAGACTCCTGGGATGCTCTCGCTGTCCCGCAGCAGGTAGCTACCATCGGTGCCCGCTGCCAACAGCAGCTTCTCCCCAGCCTCGCGGGTGATGCCTGCGTGGTAGATGGGCAGCGCGTCCATGCTGGTGCTGTCTCCCACCGCAGGCAGCTCTCCCTGTGCACGGCACTGCCTCCGACTGCTCCTCAGCCGTGTGCTCCCCTCAGCATCTCCGTCTCGGTGGCGGATGTAAACAGGATGTGTTCACACCTCTGAAGCCTCCGCACAGGGCGAGACAGCGCTGAGGGAAGAGTGAGGAACGAGCGCAGCTCTTTTGTGGGTTTTTTCCTTTGCCCCTTTTTGTTTTCCTTTTTTGCAGGCTGTAACATCCTCACGGCGTCGCAGCTCGTGGGCAGAGGTGTCATTTCACTGCTCACCCTCGCCTGTGCGGCTCCGCACTCAGCGGGGACGTGACACGATGAAGTGCACGATGGCCACAGGGCTGACGGCCATCCCGGGTGAGATGTCAGCAGCTGCCGCCAGGCGCTTGTCTCCTCTGGTGTTAACACAAGGGGAGACAAAGAAAGGTGAAGCAGGATCCCTGCATAGTAGGGATTATTTTTTAACCTCTTACTTTTAAAATCCCTAGGGGTGAGAAACTAGAGGAAGCAAGCTGGCCTCGCTGTCCCCGCCAGGCCACTCGCTCTGGTCACAAGCTCTGAGCACAGCCCCTGCTCCACGGTGGCTGGTCCAGCACCCACAGACCCCGGCTCCCAGCTGATTTACCTCATGAGTGGCTATTTTCACAGGCTTTGGTGGTGTTTAATCACTGTTAATGTCAGGTGTGCTCATTATTTCTCTTTGGAGGCAGGCAACAGCCTCGGCGCAGGCCAGGAGGCCCCTCACATCCTTCCTGACGATTTCAGTGCTGCCGCCGCCTTCGTGTGATGTGTGACCAGGCAGCCAAAATCCAGAGACATGTCTGAAAAAGCCATTTCTTTCACCTGCTGTGGCCACGGGCATTTCCTCACTATGCTTGTCACTTGAAAGCTCCCATACGCACGTGCTTGCAAATGGGTCTGTTTGCAAACAAGCTGAAAAATGTGCTTTTACACCCCCAGAGATATTTCCATCCATGGAAAAACTGAACGTGTTTCCTGGCACTGAGTGGCACCACACGGCTGTGACAAGGCGGCAGTGACAAAGCATCAGTCCCCCTACAACCATGGCTACCAGCATGGCTCCTTTGGGCTGAAGTGAGCTCTGGGGTGAATTCACCCCTGGCATGAGGCCACTGCGCTCCCCTGATGAGCCACGTTCTCACACCTGGGTGTCAGAGTAATAACTCACTAAAATACAGCGGTAACTATGGGTCATGCTTATGATTGATTTGTTTTAAATTGAGTTTGCTAGCAGGACAGGGCAGAGTGAAATCATCTCACCCAGGTGTTCACAGAATGCTGTGTCCTGGTTGAAGTTAAGGATGGGTGAAAAAATAGTTTTCCAGATACACACATTTCAGGAGCAAAAATTAAATTAAACCCCCCCCAAAATAAAGGCTGCTCTTTTTAAGTTTCAATCAATCAAAATGTTTTCTCTGGGTCATTTCACAGTGCATGTCTTTCAATTCTGACCTCTGATATAGTTTCTCCTTGAAAATATCTTTTTCAAATGAGCTTTAGCTCTTCCTTTGGAGGGATGGGCGTTTCTGACCAGCGAGTCAGAGGGCAGCTCACCCGTGGGGCACTGCACCAAAGCCACCGATGACAAAGCTGCAGCTTTTGGAGGCACCATCAGCCTCCGGCCCCGCAGGGAGAGCCCAGAAAGCGGCTGCCTCCCTGCCTGGCACCCCAGGGGCTGAGAAAGATGCAGAAAACCTCAGCTGAAGAGGGACTGAAAACTTCCACGGCTGTGTTTATGGCTTTTCTATCTTGTTACACAGGTGTTCATTACCCCATTTACGCAAACCTGGGGAGTCAGCTATCCTGCTCGGTTTTTTAAACCAGTTGTTAAAGTATTTGCACAAAAACATAGAGCTGCTGCCTACTGCAAATGTGATTCATGCGGATGGTGACAAGGTGAAGCAAAGCACTTTTCCCTCATAAAGCTGATGCCTATTTCTTCTCCTTTTCCAAACTACCCGTACTCTTGGGGATTTCACCTAACTTTCCTATTTCTTAACCTATTCACAATATTAATAGCTGATTTCAGACAAAGTATATGTGTAGTTAGCTGGAGAGGAAAAACAACCGGAATCATCCAATTCTGCAGATCTCATTGCCTCACTCGTCAGATTTCAACTAAAGCATAGGTAGAAAAAGCATAAAACTTTTGAGTGTGAGATGCTCGCTTAATAAGGGCGACGCCACATTACCAAACAGCCTGCCTACTCCCGGCACTTTGATGAAGCGGTACCTGTTACTGTAAAGTATCTGTAAACACCCAATTTTGCTTTTGTGAGTAAGGAGTCCATAAAACTCCAGCTACTGAACCCCGAAGCCCAGGCTTCCATACAAATCCCTTTATGGCCACATTGACTAGGGGGTACACAGCTTTTAAGAAGGAATGGAAATGCTGGATTTTGGAACAAGGGACACTAAGGAAGAATTAAAGCACCAAGCAGGATAAACCAAACCAAAGGACATAAGTGCTTCCTGGGCTGAGAAGAGAGAAACCATGACACTGCTAGCACAGCTCTGCACCACACCACCGAGGCTAGAGAAATCCTCCCTTCTCCCAAACAAGCCAGCTTCATCGCAGCTTTGCACTGTCGGCACCCAGTCAGACTCACATCGACTGCCCCAGTTTTTATCCATTTAATCTTATGCATCTGAAGGGTTGTTTGCCATCCTATGCCATACTGCTGCATATGTGCAGTGGGTCTGAGAAGTCCAACTACAAAATTGAGCAGCAGGATCAGGAGAGCAGAAGAAACTGGAGAACCAAGCCTCAAACGGGTGGCGCTCCTGATTGGACTTAGTCCCCATTGCCTTCCACTTTAAGCATCCCTGTAGGATGCTGGACACTTCTCTTGTTTTGTTTGGAGAGTATTCAGCATATTCTGGACACCACAGTTTTGTGCCTTCCCTAAATCAGTCCAGCTAGCAGTCCCTGCAGTATACTATAAAAAATTTATCTAAAAAATACATGAAGGAAAGGACGCACTTAAAAGCACTCTGAAATATTTGGTCATGAAAAAGAGGCTTAGAAAGATAGGCCTGCATAGACCTCTTGGGTCATCAAGTCTACTTCCCTGCTATCTTAGCCAAACACATCATATAATCCCTTTCAGAAACTCATTATACTCTGTCTTAAAAGTGGCTTGGGGTTTTTTGTTGTTGTTGTTGTTGTTTCCACTGTTCTGATTGGAAAGCAACTGCAGAATATCACTATTCTGTTGTTTGGAAACCTGCTTCCAATTTCCATCCTAAATTTATTCATGACCAATTTATACTCACTTGTTCTTGTGCCAATGTTGTCCTTTAGTTTAACTGGATGTTTTCTCTTCCTAGAGCTTATGCCCATGCGGTATTTATAGTGGCCTCCCTCAGCCTTCATTTTGCCAAACTCCTCTCACGCTTAAGGCTCTGCCTTCCCATGGTCACTCTAATCATCTTTTCCTGAAAGTGGAGTGAAACATTTGTGAATAGCGTGCGCTATCCTGACTGACTGCTAACATGTGCCTCATAAACCTTACCGGCGTTTCATTACCCTGGTGAGAATACCTTGCTTTGTATGTTCTGTGTCTTTCCCCTCCTTATTCTTTTCTTACCTACGAACATGCAGGTATAGTAGAAACCTGGTTAACAAGACCCAAATGCATGAACTTGCACTCAAATCCTTCTGAATTTCATCCAATTTATCCTATCCAAGTCCTCAAGGTCACTCAGTTCTTCCTAGATGAGAGTTTTATTCATCTCTGCAGTGACAGTACCTCCCTCCCTTATGCCACTGGTAAATTCCATTAGCACACGCTTATTTTTTATGGGATCATCATTAATAAAAAATGTTAAATAATATCAGGCCCCAGACTGATGCTTGGGAACCTCTACTACCTTCTCTCAGTACTGATCTTCTCCTCCTACTACTCACTTTCTTATTCACTTTTCAATTTCTGTACTAATCTCCCATTTTAGCTAATAATTTCCCACATGGCGCTGTACCAAATGCTGCACTTTAGTTTAGATAATTAGCTCTAAGCACTTCCTTTGTCTAGAAAAATCAATTATGATGATATTTCAGGCACCGGAACTTGTAGAAGTACCTGAGAAGCAGAGGTAGGGGAGACAAAATGAAATTACCTTAAGTTTTTTGAACACCTGCAAAGATTTGGACTGATTTTCATTTTCAGATGAGCTGCTTCATTCATCCCTAGCGATGACATTTTCATACACTGTTGAATTTTATAACAATTCTGAACATTATAACACTAATGCAAGAGCATCATTAAAATTCTCAGATATTGTTATTTGACTGAAAATAAGAATGACCTTCAGGACCTTTATGAAATTAATGCTACTGCAGAACTGTTATAGGAAGGCCTCGTATAAAGGGCTATAAAGCAAGATAAAATGTAAAACACCTGTATTGGTAGTTTTGCTGATACAGCAGTATTATCGTAAATGCCATCCCTGTAGAAGTACTGAAAAAGCAACTTCAAAATCAGCAGCTATTGCAATATTTTTGAAAAAATATTTAACTGGCAAAATGCCACATTAAAACACAGCTAACTTTAAATATGATTTTCATTATTTCTTGTCACTTTCATTTTTACAGTAATCTAACAAAATATTCAGAACAACTGTATGGAATAGTATCTGCAGACAGAGACTTGCTATTCACACAAGAAAGTAATGCTGAGATTCAGTAGTGTTGGTTATTCAACAGAGTACCTGCAGAGTCACCATTATCATGTTTCCTTTTTGAGCTGAAATGAAAGAGGTTGGAAAAAGCAGGCTACAATTAGCAAATGTGTAATTAGCTGTAAGGTTCTGAGTATCAATACAGAAGAAGAATCCAAAGACATTTTGGCTTAAAGTTCAGAGATTAGCACATATTCCTACAGCCTTCGTGTTAGTCATGGTAGTCTATGTATGTTGCTTGGGTTAAAAAAGGAAAAAGGAGGGAAATGGTTATAATAAATA